GGCTCCTAGACTCCCTTAACGTTTCTAAGCACTTTATAAGGCCCCTAAACTCCCTTTTTCCTAGCCCCGGGCTTAGACACGTCGCTTATGCCCGCCCTTTGGGGGGCATCATGCTCCTGATGCGCCCCCGGGGTCCCGCCCCGGGAGCCGCTGATGCTCCTGATGCGCGCCTGGGGGTCCCGGGCTGGACCCGCTGATGCTCATGATGCGCGCCCTCTGGGGGCCTCCGTGGCGACGCAAAAACCACGAAAAAAAAACCGTTCACCGGCGGCACGCGGGGGTCGGCGGCACTGGCGTCCGGCCTAATTCTGCTTCGCAGAAGGCCAGAGGCCAGCAAGGCTATTCCCGGGACGACCCGGGCTAAAAGGTCCGCATTTGCTCGGTCCTTTGGGGACCTCGCGCTGCCCGATTTTTAAGGGGCTGCGCCCATGGGCGGGCAGCGCACGCAGAAGCCCGGGGCGAGCGGTTTCTAAGCATGTTGAGGCCCCTAAACTCCCTTAAAATCTCTAAGCGTTAAGTTTCTAAGCATTTTCAGGCCCCTAAACTCCCTTCAAATCTCTAAGCGTTTGAGGCTCCGAGACTCCCTTAACGTTTCTAAGCACTTTATAAGGCCCCTAAACTCCCTTTTTCCTAGCCCCGGGCTTAGACACGTCGCTTATGCCCGCCCTTTGGGGGGCATCATGCTCCTGATGCCCCCCCGCGGTCCCGCCCCGGGAGCCGCTGATGCTCCTGATGCGCGCCTGGGGGTCCCGGGCTGGACCCGCTGATGCTCATGATGCGCGCCCTCTGGGGGCCTCCGTGGCGACGCAAAAAACCACGAAAAAAAAAACCGTTCACCGGCGGCACGCGGGGGTCGGCGGCACTGGCGTCCGGCCTAATTCTGCTTCGCAGAAGGCCAGAGGCCAGCAAGGCTATTTTGGGGACCTCGCGCTGCCCGATTTAATGGCTACCGCCAGTGCCGCCGACCCCTCAACCTGATGCTCCGCGCAAACCGGACAAGAACAAGGATGGCAGGCCATCTTTCGACGAATTCGCAGAGGCAGGAGGAGAGTGAGCGGTCTACGGTTTAGGGTTTAGGGTTTCGGGTTTAGGGCCTAGGGTTTAGGGCTTAGGGTTTAGGGCTTAGGGTTGAGCGTTCAGGGTTTCAAGGGCATTAGGAGGGCTTAGTCGGTAGTGTGCTGAGAGGCCATCCGCGACCGGGGCAGGGGGGGGGGGGGGTGCCGGGGTGGCGGGGTGGGGGGGGGTGGGGGGAAGAGGGTGCGTGCAGGGGGGCGGGCATGCCCTGGAGCCTTTGAAGTGGGGGGGGTGGGGGGGCGGGAAGTTTATGGGGCTGGGGTGGGGTGGGGGTGGGTGGGGTGGGGGGTGGGGGGGGGGAGGGGGGTGGTGGGGGGGGGGGTGGGTGGGGGGTGGGTGGGGGGGGTGGGGGGGGGGGGGGGGGAAGGGAAGGGGGTGGGGGAGCGGAGCAAGCGGAGGGGGTCGGGCCTGGCACGGAGGAGGCCCTTTAAGTCGCTTTAAAGTCAGTCATCGAGGGGTGGGGGGGTGGGGGTGGGGGTGTGGGGGGGGGGGGTGCGGGGGCGGGTGGCGGGTGGGGGGGGGTGTGGGGGGGGGGGGTGGGGGTGGCGGAGAAGGGGGGTGGGGTGAGCGGAGCGGACATAGGGGGGTGGGGGTGGGGGGGGGGGTGGGAGGGAATGGGGGTGGGGGAGCGGAGCGGGCGGAGCAAGAGGGGGCGGCATGCACTGGAGCCCTTTAAAGTCAGTCCAGTCAGTCATCTGATCGAGTGGGGAAGGGGTAGGGGAGGAGGATGGAGTGGAATGGTTGGGAAGGGTGGTTGGTGGTGGGAGGGTTAGGGGCGGGAAGGGCGGGGCACGGACTGGGGCCTTTTAAAATCAGCTTAAGGTGCGGGGTTACGCCGACGCCATGGAGTCTTCACTAGCGCCTCCCCCGCTCAAAGCTGGGGTCGGCGGACAAGGGGCACCGAAGGCCCCATATGCCAGAGCCCCAAAGTCAACTTTTTAAGGTTCGGTTTTCTGGCATTGTTGAAGCTTCAGACCTCCACATGGCCAAGACTTGCCAGGTCTCTCCTGGAAGAGTTCCGCCAAAGCAGCGCGCCTCGCGTGGTCAAAATTCTGCGCCTCACTGCATCTCGCTGCCCTCTGCCCTTCAGACTCCCTCCCCTGTTGACAAGGTCCGAATGTGTGAACCAGGCTGCAAAGTATCACTTACCTCAGTCATGAGCACATTGCATCTTGCAGTCAGCCCTCAATTGCTTTGTCGCAAAAAGCCACTTGCATACAGCCAGTATGGCACGGCATTGTCGAGAACAGTGTTTAGAGGGTTGCTGAAGCAAAAGTTGGGTGGGTTTCACAGGAGCTCTTGGAACACCTTGGTGATCAAGTCCTCCGACGCCTCTCAGAGCATGATCCGCAGAACTGCAATTGGCCCAGAACACGTCGGGGTTTCAGCCAGCACATAGCGAAGTCTGCAGCCAAGAAGAGTCTTTGTGAAACACCCTAATCCGCCCTAAACGATCCCATATTGGCGGAGCAGTCATTGATCTCCGAGGTTCCAACACGATGCGAGCACACGGAGTGTCCACATCCCAGCTCGCCGCGGAAAGCTTCCAGACAAAGAAAACTCGTTGGCGACAAAGTGCCCTAGACCGAATCCCTGCTGTAAACCTCAGATTTCCCGAACATCTCCTAAACTCACACATGCTCAGCCCGTAAAGCCCAAACCCCGTAACCCCAAGCCCAAACCCCTACCTAGCCCCTGATCCTTAAACCCTCAGCCCTCAAAGCCTGCTACCATCCAGGCCCGTTGTTGTGGGCGGCTCGGCATCGGCTTCCTCAGCAAAGCGGACGATGGAGGCTGAAGCTGTGCCAGTTCTGCCTATCGGAAGAGCTGCTGTTTGGGGCAGGTCATCCGAGAGTCCGATTGCCAGTCCCTCGCCAACACAGGCGCTTTGTCACGGGGTACTTAGACATCTTCGACAAAAGAAGGCATCTGATTGGGACACCATGTTTCCCTTCTTTCACCGCGCCCCGGGGTGCCCGCCAACAAGTGTTTTTTAGACCACAGAAGAGGAGGCAGTCAAGCACCCCCACCCGGTGGCAGGCTGGTCGCTGACAAACACAAGCGCCGCAGGCCTAACGTTCTCTGTAGTGGGTTTAGAGTCTTGGAAGATGTCAGCTCACAAACCCCGTTTCCGTGTGGCGCATAGCAGTGTGCACTCAGCAACGCCCTGCAGCACATCGCCCCAAAGATGCAGAATATTTTTGAACCATCTGGAGGTGCTGCCTTGCTGAGTGCAGCTGAGGCTCCAAAGCCTCCTGTCTCCGCTAGATTGTATAGGTCACAAATGATGGTCCATTCATTCCTTCCTTATGGTTTCTGGGGATTTAAGGTGCACTGCTGCTTGAATCCCCCAAGGCCTTGCGGTTGATTTCAGTGCCAGGAGCAAGTCCTTGCACTGACCAACAGCTTTGACATCTCAACCCATACGGAGAAGGAGCCAACAGTCGCTCTGACGTTTCAGTGTGATCCTGTAGCTTCTCTCGGTAGAACATGAGCTGAGGCACCCAGAAGCCCAAGAAATCTCAGAGACCTCCGCAGGAGCTCGTGGAGGTCTCCATGGGGCTGCTGGGGGTTGTCTGGGCCTACGCCTTTCTCGAGGTGCCTTGGGAGCTTGCGGGGCCTGTCGAGCCGCACAGATACTCAGAGTTGACTGCGGGGGGTTTGCTTTTGGGTGTGTGGGCTCAGTTCACGGTTTTTTTAAATGCCAATCGATCCTATGAAGCGCCTTGAGGCCCGAGATGGAGGGACTTGAGGGTGTTCGACCCCTGCCAAAACTTTTAGTTTGTAATGTTGCTCCCGATTGAGCAAGGGGTAGCCCACTATGATTGACGTCTCAACCGATTCTTCTGCGACCCCAATTGTTCAGGTTTGCCCGGGAAAATGCGAAGTTCGGAGGCCTGAAACTCTCGTCAGGTGAGGCCCCTCAGCCCCAGAAGCCTGAAACCCCAAATTTCTGTGCCGGGGGCATCTATAGCTTCCTTCACAACCATGCTGCACTTTAGTTGACAATCCGGAGCCTCGGACATGTTTGTTTGGGGGGGAAACCTGGACGTTAACTCCAAAGCTCCCTTTTCCTGCAAGAGCGCGCAAGATGTTGGATGGGCTTGGGATGGGTGTGCAGGTCAGCTGCAAACACCTGCGCGAACGATGCCGAGCACTGCTGACAGACATCGGGCGCACCCTGGACAGGCCAAAGTGTGAGTGGAGAGGTTTGTCTGCACAAGAGTGCTGGGGCATTTAGTCATGCTGACATGCGGAAGATCCGCCGATGTAGATTGTTTGGCTGTGCGGCTAGACGACTCTACCCGCAGCAATACCTCGTAACACTTCTTGTCTATGCAAGAGCCACGTGTTCTGAAAGGATGCCGCCCTCTTCGCTGGTGAAAGGTTTACACTTTGCCCAGAAGGAAAACAGTGGGGGCTGAATGCGTCTGTATTCATTCCTGGTGGTGAGCGACATGGCAGGCGGCCAGCGGCACCAGCAGGTGCGACTTGCAACAAGACGGGGTAAAGCTCGCAAGGCGTTGTAAGGTTCTCGAGACAGGGGTTTTTGAAACTCACGCACTAGCTAGTATCAATGCAGTCAAATATAGCATATTGTGCCATTCAACCCTGTCACGTCGGACAAAGCACACGGGCCGGCAGTTCAAAGGCCTCTCAGAATGAATGGCCCCTGCCAGGCGTTGGGAGCCGGCGCCTTGCAGCATGCTCGTCCGAAGCCAGGCATGCTTCAATCCAACCAAGTGCCGACCTGCGCGAAAGCACCATGACATCAAGTCGTCCTTTGTGAAGCTTGTGCGTTTCTCCTCCACTCCTCTTTTTCTGGTATTAACTCCCCACCCAACATAGCCCCTGTGGGTCGAATCGCGTTTAGGTGCCTGAATCACAGGCAGCGTATCGGTCAACTGCCGCACTTGCTCGCCTAGCTGCCTGGCATCATCGTCGGGGTCTCGGACGACTCACGGGTCTCGGGCGCAAGAGGCAAGCAGGAAGCCAAACAGATACAGTCGTGCTGAGGGATTCTATGTCACTCGCGACTGGTTTTTCAGAGCCCCAGCAGCTGCAGCCTGGTCATTCATTATACTCATCCACCGCCTATGCCGCACCCCGGAGAACTTCAAAGTTCACTAGAGTCTTGAAGCAGATTCTAAACCCCTAAACTTCAAGGACCCACACAAGCTGTAGAGCTGAGCCAAATCCGACCAAAGGTGGTGCACAAACCGCCAAACTGGGAGGACTCGACGAGGGGGGGGGGATCTCCAGGGTTTGAAGGTTTTTGGGGGCTTCGCTGGCTTAGCTCCGTGGCTTAGTGTGTAGCCGGCACAAAAAATGAGTGTCAATGGTTGGCAGCGCGGCATCACCAACATTGAAAGCAGCAAGCTCTTAAAGCAGCTGGGAGGTGGACAGCAAAGGCGTCCCGGAACAGGAGGACTCTGAGGAGGCGGGCTTCCTGCGTTTACGGCTGCGTTCCAAGGAAGATGTCAGGGTGATCAGGGTGTTTAAGGTTTGGGGTGTGAGGTCACGTCATTTCTGTCTCGCTGGTGCAGAGCAGGCTCTTTTGTCCGAGTTCAAAAATATGTAGGTTCTAGTTCCTGAAGTCTTAGAAGCGTCTGCGCTTGGACACATCTCCTGAAGAAGGGGCCTTGTTATTCTCACCCAGCCGCATTGCACATCCTTGCACGGGCATTACCAATTGGGGGGGCCCGAGCACCCCAGAGAAATCCTCGGCCCCCGCTTCTGCGGACTTCTTCAAAGCCCCGGCAGCTGGCGAAGCTCGGGCAGCTTTGGCTCCTCGCCGCCGTTGTCAAGCCCTCTAAGATTTATGAGGCTGAGGGTAGCTTGGTCTCCCGTAAACTCCTAGACGGTATTTTTCTGGGGTGGATGTTTCTCAGCTAAGACCCGTACGGCCTCTTTGAACTCAAGCTCTCTAATTGGGGCTCGTGGCTCGTTATAGTCTTGCGCTCAAGGAAAAGGTGGACCCGGAAGTTCAGTCCGGTGGGCTCGTGTTGAACAGATAGAACCCCTCCCCTGCTCCCAGTAGTTGCACAAGCAAACGCTAAGTCCAGTTTGCTATTCTGCCGGGCAGGCCTCTTCGCCCATTGCTCTTTCCGCATGGCTGCGCGAACAGTGGCTAAGCGTGGTTTAGGGACACGGTGCATCCATTCACCAGAATCTATTCCCAAATCGACTGCCTCTAAGCGCTTCTGCTTCATGTACACAGCTTTCTGCCTAGCAAACATGTACATGCTCTTGAGACTTCCCAACACCACCCAGCTTGAACCTTTGCGGGTTCAGGGTTCGGCATGCAGGGAGCTGCAAGTTTCAGCAGAGCTGGCTGAAGTGACATGCCAACACGCGATGATAAGGCAGAGATGCAACTTCAAACTGATGGTTGCTAGTGTCCATCCTGACCAGAATGGATAGAACAATTGACGCTGTAGAAAACCGGCAGCAGTGGCGGGCACTTGATGAACTGTTGCTTTTCGCACAGAGTTCATTCATGTCATTCAAAGGCACCCACTGGCCGCCAGTCCTTGGACCCCGGACACCCAATAGCCATCACGTCTGTGCTGAGAGTCGCGCCTCAGGCTGACTGTTGCCACACATCCGCTGCTTTGGCAACCGGACCGAGCTCGGGGTTGCGAAATTTCGGAAGATTTCAGGTGCCTTCCTTGCATACCTGAGAGACCCCATGACGCAAAGGGGGCAGGATCGACTTCCCCGGATTTCCAGCAGAAGCTCGCAGTATCACACTACACCCTGAACCTACTCCAGGCACGGTCACCGCGGTCCACCTGTGACCTTCGGGGGACCAGACATTTGCCGGATTTGGCTCAGGGTTTATCGGGCTTTGGCCTTTCAGGACCTGGACCATGGCTTCTTGCATCGGTTGGCATGGCGCTGAGTCCGACACGAGACCCTACATATTCGAGCTGCAAGAGAAGCTCATTGTAGAAGCTCTATAGGCAAGGCCACTGTGTTCGCATGCAGTATGCGAGCATCAGCTTCATGCTTGTGGATTACGTTTTGTTGGGCATCCATGGCAATAGTTCCTCCTGCTGAGGACGTCCCGAGTTCGGGGCTGTTCCTTGGCTTCAGAAGAAATGCCCGGTGTCATCCAGGTGTCGCTTCGTGCTCTGTCGCAAGGTTGCTCGTGGCATCCCAAGCCCAAATCACACAAAGCCAAGTCGTCCTTCTGCGTCCCTTATTGAGCCTTGCAGCTTCTATTGAGTTCTTTTTGATGGTCCAGCTTTGCTAGTGGTAGAGCTGGAATCTGTGACGCTCAGTGATGGTTGTGATGTCAGTTTCTTGTTCCGTCGCTGTTGAGGATTCTTTGTGGCGCAACCTTCTCTGGATTACTTGCGCTACGGTGGCAGCTGGACACCTACCAGCTTGAGCGGCAGCACCTTGGCTTCACGAGCCACATCTAGCTCGACAAATACGAGGCAGATCACATGAAACAAAAAGGCAACTGCCTGGTATTATTACTCCATGTGACCTGTCGAAGGCTCTTGCCCGCTGCAAGCCGAAGAGCGAAAATTCGCCCCGTCAATCCCATACTGAATAATGTACTGGTCCAGTCCGCAGTCCGCCAAAGTTCGAACTACCAGGACTCACTCGAAGTTCCGTCGGCTGAAGGTCAGGCTGAAAGGTCGGGACTGGCAAGTCTTTGGACGGATCTGGCCTTCGCTGTACTCTTGCTACCCAGTACGGAGAACGCCTTCAAACAGAGCGATCCCTCCAAGAGTGTCCAAGTAGTGAAAGGATTACCGTGCACAAAAGTGTTGTTGATATCACGTACGCCGCATAGTATCACTTCACGAGTTGTTCTCTTGACGCAGTCTCTGCTGACAGGTACCTGGTCGTCTGCCACAACCTGCCCCCTGCGACCCTTCAAGAGGCACGTTGGGGAACGACGACCCGCTGCACGCGAGCTTTCATGATGGCCCCCAGATGTCCCCAGCTTATGTCTCAAGGTTGCTGTTTTCGAGTTCGCGAAATTTGTGTCAAGATGACTTTCAACTGTCTGCCCTGAAGGTTGTCGCCTACATTGGACAAGGAAGCCTCCAGTCGCGCAAGAGCTCAGCTGGGGAGGCCCAGCGCCACTCGTACAGCCGAAAGAGTCCAAAAGAAGCACTGGCCATTCGGGGGCTGCATCGAAACTCCGCTAGCGCAGCGCTGGCACAACGACGCGGTAGGCCTGTTGTGATGAGGCTGGGGCCCAGCATTGTTGGGTTCTCCGCTCTGTTTCCCTGAGCCTGAGGCCACTCTCGTGAGGGAAACCGAAACTGCATGTGTCTACCAGCTCTCGCACAAGCTACGTGTAGTAGGATACCCTACATCAACGTTGGAAGGGTACGTTGGAAGGCTGACCTTACAAAGATTGCCGATGGCTCACGTGAAGGCCATCTAGACTGGTCATGGCGAGCATTGTGAGCCGAAGCCCAAGAAACCTACAGACTGAAAAGTCCTTCTCTCCAAACCCATTCTCAGAGACATCCAAGCACAAACACCTACGTTGCAGCACTTTGTGCGCGTGTTGGCGTTGCGCGTGGGCGTGGTGCTCGCTGGCATGCGCGTGTGCGCGTGTGTCTGGGGGTGCATATTTGCTTGCGCGCCTGAACCGCCTGCCCCTGTGCATGCCTGTGCCTGGGTGTGTGTGTGTGTGTGTGTGTGTGTGTGTGTGTGTGTGTGTGTGTGTGTGTGTGTGTGTGTGGGTGGGTGGGTGGGTGGGTGCGTGCGTGTGTGCGTGCGTGCGTGCGTGCGTGCTGGGTGTGCGTGCGTGCGTGGGTGTGCGTGCGTGCGTGGGTGTGCGTGCGTGCGTGGGTGTGCGTGCGTGCGTGGGTGTGCGTGCGTGGGTGTGCGTGCGTGGGTGTGCGTGCGTGGGTGTGCGTGCGTGGGTGTGCGTGCGTGGGTGTGCGTGGGTGTGTGTGTGTGTGTGTGTGTGTGTGTGTGTGTAATTACTTCTGGCACATTCTAAGGCAGCGGTCGTACTCTCAAGGAAGCAGCAGCAGCCCTAACCCCTAACCAAAACCCTCGACACTTTCTGATTTCTGCCAGGGCGGCAAGCCGGCTAGCTCGCAACTGACCGCATTGAGCCACGCCTCGCGCGCCGGTGGCCACTGTGGGGTGCAAACCCCCGCAGGGCCTCCCCCAAAGCCCTTGGAGTCCCTTTGTGCTCAGCACCCCCGTGTCAATTGGCTTAAAACTTTGATACCCTCCAACCCATCTTGACCCGATGCTGCTTGAGCACTATCGCCTTTGGTCTGGGTCGCTCTTGTTTCGGGTTGGGATCTAGCGTTCAAGTCGGGCTTGGACTTGGGGTTTAGGTGGGGCTTGATTATTGTATTTAAGGTCATGCGGGTTCAGACATGAAGTTGAATGTTTGGGGTTTCTTAGGTCCTCAGCCAGGTGCTCGCTATCCGAATTCGCACCGGACGCCGGCATCAGATAAGACATTTGGACTGAAAGAAGCCCTGCAGAACTCGACACATGATGGCGACAGGGCTCCAACCACGACAGGGGGAGGGGGGGGCGGGGGTGGGGAGGCTATCAATACCAGGCATTTCGGGTTTTGCTGCTTGGGATATTGATATGTAGGTTTAGGCATTTTCTCTTCAGGGTTGTGTCTATCAAAGCAGGCATTGCAAACAAAAATGCGGCAGCAACAGCTGCAACGCCAGTAATTAGTTGCTAACAGAAAGCAAGGAGCACACCTGCTCCACGAGGATCACGCGACAGCGACCGAACCCTGGCAAAGACTGCAAACTTTATGGAGCCGGGGTTTATAGGTTTCATGGGTTTCTGGATCCCCTTGACCTCGTCTCGTGGATTCCCCTGGACGTGAACTACCCAAGCAAGAAGGAGCGAGTGTGCTCGTCGTGGAAGTCCTACAGAGGGATTGTGTCTAAAGCACCCACACCGT